CCCTCTGCCCGATGATGCACCTTCTGGCAAGATCAATGGAGGACGGCATTTGTTTTTTACTTTCCACCATACCAAGCCTTCAGATCTCGTCGCGCCACCTGGGGCGCCAAGGGTTCGCGACTCCGACAGCATTGCTATCTCGCTGTGTGAAGTCACGGACCCGAGCTCGGAAACGCCAGTCCTGCTCATGAAAGATACTGAGACTGGACTTGATGAATCTTCTGTGATTGCAGTGCCGTCGACCTTCACCATGTCAGAGTGGAAGAGCCTAACTCGATACATTTGTCAACCCGCGCTGTGCCACAAATTTGGTGGCGTCGAGGCGCCGGCAGGGATTGCTGGCGCGATGGGCCTTGTCATCGAGCAGCTCTTGCCATCTGCAGCTGCGAATGGGCAGGGTGTCTTCTTCAAGGCGGAGGCGCTCACTGACAATGCGGAGCGCGCCTTGAAGTTTTTATCCGAGAAGGGCTTTGTGACTAGATCACTGGGCAACAGCTGGATGCTCAGCTCTCGTGGGAAGCTATCTTTACAAACTTTGCAGCCCTTGGGAAATCCAGAGAATGTTATGATGCCGCCTGGGGTCTCGGAGAAGCCGCTCTGCGATTTGTCAAGTTTGCAGTTGGCGCTTTTGTTTGATAGGGCAGGCTGGAAACATGAAGTTGTCAAATCGAGAAGAGGACTGAAGCCTTGCACTCAGATGGGCGCGAAAGTGCGGCATCTCAGGGAGAGTGCGAAGACCTTTTCCCAGCACTACTTGTGGGCACTTCTTGATTCACCAAGGCATGGTTCGCAAGTGTTGCATCTGATGCCAGAGGGCTACTACATGGCTCTCCTCAAGGGCCACGAGTGGACGCCTCCAGCCAAACGAACGAAGAAAGACGAGTTTGAGTTTGATGCTTCGGACGCGGACTACGAAGTTGAAGAGGAGGCCATTGACGAGATCGGCCCAGCAGAAGGCGAAGATGACCAAGACGAGGCAGACGAGGAGCGTCCAGCTGAGGAACATGCAGAATCCGACAACTGTTCCGACGCTGCCTCAAGCTCAAGTAGTTCTTCGAGCTCGAGTTCTTCGAGCTCAGGATCATCAGAGTCTCCGCCTCCGCCTGCGCCTCCAGTCGGACGCATCCGGAAGGATAGCCAGAACTGGCGAGGGTCGAGGTTCACTTATGTGTATCACAAGACGACTGGAGAGGTGACTGGACTTGAGTGCACGTGCGTATACAAAGATGCACATCCCAACAAGTGCAGGCGGCGGCGGCTCTTCTGGGCAAATAAAGGCCCTGGCAACACAGAGAAGCCGTTGAAGCATTGGGTGCTCATGGGCGGACAGTGCGACGACCAGATCACACATCGTGACATGCCGCACCCTGCAAAGCTCCCTACTTTCAAGGAGCTTGATGAGATGGATTTTACTTGACATCAATGCTGTGCACTGTGCGATTCACGTGATGCGTAGACAATCACTCCTCCTTCTTCATCATCTGTCCCTACTCCTCTTGCTCTTCTAAAACTCCGCCTCCTCCTCCTCCAACGCTCCTTCCTCCACATCTCCGCTTTCTTCATATCGTTCTACTCGCATGGCGGGCTTATGGTCGTCAGAAGCTGGGCTGCCTTGAGGATCTCGGCACCGCCATAGGCTGTCTCAAGGTAAGCTTCCTGGGGAGCCGTACTCGGCTGTCTTTGGGGTATCGTGTGTCATTGGTTGTCTTGGAGCAATCGCAAGCTGTTTAAAGCCATTATAGGCTGTCTTGGGGAAGCCGCCATAGGCTCTTGGGTCAATCTGCTTGGTTCGGAGGCTCTGGGGCAACCTTCAGCTGCGTGGGGCGTGGGCCAACCTTAGGTTGACTTGGGACTCCAATAGGCCATCTGGGTTCTTGGGGACGCCCAACGGCATCTCTGGGAAGTCTCAAGCTACCTCGGGCAATACAAAAGCTGTCATGGGGCCACCTTAGGCTATCTAGGGTCTGGGGGCTACCATGCCTTTGCTGGAACCGCTGAGGACCGTCTTGAGGTCATCTTGGGCTGCCCGGCGACAATCAGGCCGACTAAAACACCTTAGCGCACCATGCAACAAACAAACAGCAGGCTCGCAGGACCGACTCTGATTTTATGTTAACATTACAATCCTATGATGTTCACCATGCGCCCAGCGACCCGCCCTTTCCACTGAATGCAGCAACTGTTACATATGTTTTGAAGCTTTTCTATGCCTTCTGCAATATTCCATACCTTTTGTGTGCAAGCGGGTGTGAAACCTATGTTGTTCTACATTCCCCTGTGATTTCGCAAGCCCGAACAACTTTTTACAATGAAACGTGTGTGATTGAGAAATTTCATTGTGTTTTCATATGTTTAACCTGCTTTTGTAGACGCCACTGCGCTTGGAAAGAATTCCCGCCAATTCCAACATGTCTGTTCCAAAAACACTGAAATTTCAATTGTTTGGCGTTTTCGCTTGGATATCAACTGCTTTTGTGTAGAGTGGCAGCTTTTTTAAATACATTCTGATTGTTTTCAAAGGATGGTGCACATTCAGCATCAATTCGCATGACATGCAAAGATTTTCAAGCGAATTCTAAGAATTTCAACGAATTTCATGGATTTCAAGCGTTTTCGAGCGATTTCAGCATACTTCCATTATGTTCTAAGGTTTTCAATGAATTTCAACAGATTTCAACAATTTTCAATGATTTCGGGCTTTTTTGCTGTGACTTGGTCAATTTCGCATTCCGTTGTACATTGTTGGCGTTCCTCACCCTCTTTGCGCCCGAAACACCTAACCCATGAAATCTCATGGCTGATTTGCGGGGAACTTGCGGGGAACTTGCGGGGCACTTGCAGGGAACTTGCGGGGAACTTGCGGGGAGCCTCCAAACCACCCAAACTACATCAGGAATACTCGAATTTCACCGAAATACACCCGAAACTACAATTATCCTGGCGAAAGCACCAACCATAAGCAGTTGTTGGTAACGCGTTGTGGGTGCCGCTTTCGTGGGGTCCATATAATGGAGTCCACGAGCGCTGCCTTGGATAGTGGGAACCGCATGCGAACTCGCCCCACGCGGGCGGTCCTCGGTGGAGCTCCCTATGGGCCACGAACAAACGCTGCCCTGGTGTGGTAAACCCGCCCCCTCTTCCGAACTGTGCGCCCTGGGCCCGGCCTTCGTTGGCTCCCTATGGTGGCACGAAAACGCTGCCCTGTGTGGGGAACCGCAAATGCGGACTGTGCCACGGGGGCGTTTCGGTGGGGCTCCATATGGGTCCACGAAGCGCTGCCTTGGATGGGGGAACCGCATGCGGACTGCGCCACCGGGGCGGGCCTTCGGTGGAGCTCCCTATGGGGCTACGAACCGCTGCCCTGGGTGGGGGAACCGCATGCGAACTGCGCCACTGGGGCCTTCGGTGGAGCTCCCTATGGTGCCACGAAACGCTGCCCTGGGTGGGGGAAGCGCATGCGAACTGCGCCACGGGGGCTTTCGGTGGAGCTCCCCATGGGGCCACGAAGCGCTGCCCTGGGTGGGGGAACCGCATGCGAGAGCAGCCACTGGGGCCTCCGGTGGAGCTCCCTATGGGGCCACGAAACGCTGCCCTGGTGGGGGAACCGCTTGCGACTCGCCACGGGGCTTTCGAATGGAGCTCCCATGTGGCCACGATGCGCTATACCTGGGTAAAGGGACCGCATGCGACACCCCCCACTGGGGCCTTCGGTGGAGCTCCCTATGGGGCTACGAAGCGCTGCCCTGGGTGGGGGAACCGCATGCGAACACCCCCACTGGGGCCTTCGGTGGAGCTCCCTATGGGGCTACGAAACGCTGCCCTGGGTGGGGGAACCGCATGCGAACACCCCCACTGGGGCCTTCGGTGGAGCTCCCTATGGGGCCACGAAACGCTGCCCTGGGTTGGGGAACCGCATGCGAACACCCCCACTGGGGCCTTCGGTGGAGCTCCCTATGGGGCTACGAAACGCTGCCCTGGGTGGGGGAACCGCATGCGAACACCCCCACTGGGG